GGGACCAAGACTTTTGCACAGCACCACTTTTGTAGAAATGAGGCTCCTCAATCCGTAGCAGACATTTCATCTTTTTGGTGTTTGTCAGATTTTTCTAAAAAAAAATAAAAAAAAAAAACTTCCACAGATCTCAGTGTTTTGTAGTCACCAAAACCCAGGAAAAGAAAAAAAGGGTCACATTTTGTTGCCGAGACAATTAAAAATAAAAAATAAAAAATGACCGAGAACGCGGATGAAGTCTGCGGCCGGCTCGGCCACAGCTGTAATCAAATCTTGTGAATGAATATCCCCCTCGCACCGAGGATGTGCTTTTTATAGCATGCGTCCTTCGTAAATCTCAACGGCGGCCTTCCGGGCGGGGGGGTCGGTGTCATCCTGCGGGACGCAGCGAGAACTGAACACAGCCACGCGGGAAGTGGACGCAAGGAAGAGCCACAGGAAGCCAGGAGTCATCGCGTGCGTCCAGCGGAGGTCGGCGGGGGTCTCCGGGTTGCAATTATACGCTAATAGCCACCAAGGAGGTCATTTGGCGCCATTAGGCGGTGCCTGTAGGTCGTTAGCGGCCCACGGCATCGGCCGGCCCGCTTAATGCTCCCCGCGTGGCCGTTAGTGCGCCGTCGCCGGCCAGCTCGCTGCCTTGTTAGCGCCAGTGGCGGCCAATTGATAGCTAATCGTAAAAATATGACGGCGGCCAGGCCGGCCCGAGCAACGCGGACCCTGCCGCAAAAACGAGGCGGCGCCCAGCCGGCAACGCCGCTGCCGATCTTGCCAGGAGCCCGCGGAACACGTTTTTGCTCACGTGTTCACTCAAGAGATTCCCGCCGTGTCCCGGAAACCAAAAAATACGCTTTGATGGATTTCTTGTTGAAAATGGGCTCGTCAAATCAGCCTCGCCAAGACCAAGTGGGACGTTTCTCATGTTGTCTTTTTCACATGGCCAACTCGAGGCCTAGCATGCAACCAAAATACCAAATAACAACTGTTTTTGGAGTCTTAAAACGCAAACATTTGAAAGGTACTAGCTTTGCATCGGTAGCGCTTGCCTCATGGGAGTAGCTGGAAAAGGTGGTGGGCAGGGTGCGCGGGGTCCAGTAGATGATCACGTCAACCCAAAATGACAGAAATTTTTTTGTCTTTTCAAGCATGGTTTCTGGATACTTTTTGGTGGGTCTGCTCATAATCGGCCAAACAGGCTTCAGGGTTTGAATTTTCAGCAAATTATGGTCAGCATACAGAATCACTACATCGCCATGCTCCGCCCACACGCAGTGACAGAACCTGAATATATAAAAATGTATATATATATTTTCTTGGGTGTCATACTATATGTGGTTCCCATTTGGTAGCCATCACACAAAGGAAGATCATATTTGAAGGACACCCGGAAATGTCCTCAAAACGGTTGTTTCACACCAAAACATCCGCCTTCCAATGGATTTTCAGATTTCTTTTGGGAGATTAGTATTATTTTTCTTTTTTCAAATGTATTTGTGTATTTATTTATTTTGTGGGACTCCGTATGAGAGGCATGCTCACCAAATGTCATCTTTTCAACTGGCTAAATAGAAAAATAAATACATGCAGGGCACTTTCTCGAGGCAATTTTGGGGAGGGCTCGTCAGCAAATTTTCCTATTATGCTCTGTTCAAACCCAATGAAAAAAATTTTGACAAAATCCTCAGAGATTGAACCGATCTCAGAAGGACCAATGGAAATAAGTCAAAAGACCTGAAAATGCCCCCTTGATACTAAAATGGCAGACTTTCAGATTTGGTCTCTTGAGACAGTTTCTTTTTTTGCCCTTCATTTAGTTGTTTATTTATGTATTTATTTTGCCGGTCTACACATGATCCACGTGCCATCAAATGGCTAAATCAAGCTGGGTTCAGCGATTGAATTTTGGAATGTTGAAAGCCTTCCTTTGTAGTGTGCGTGTGTGTGTGTGTGTGTGTGTGTGTGTGTGTGTGTGTGTGTGTGTGTGTGTGTGTGTGTGTGTGTGTGTGTGAGAGAGAGAGTGTGTTGTTCTGGTTTTTGTGCATGTGTGCGTACGTGTGCATGCGTTAATATGTCGCATTGATTTGGTGTAAAAATAAAAAGTAATCCAATCATAATCTGAAAGCGGATCGTCTAGACCTCACATGCGGAACAATTGTTCATCAATTGGAGTCAGCTGTTTCCTTGTCGACTTTATAGCATCTTCTTTTTCTCCTTCTGGCCACTCGGAAGCTAATCCTTGTGATTTGTATTAAAATGTTCTGACTGTCGCGGGACACTTTTCGGGAACACGGGCTGCGCGTGTTGTAAACAAGACACCGAGGGCGGCTGCGGCGGACAGAGTCCGAAGCAGGGGCGTCCAAATTACGCCCCGGGGGCCATTTTCTTTCAGCGGCCCCCGTTTGTCATACAAAAAATGACATTAGTCACAAAAAGCAAAACATATAGGAGTGGCAATGCCGCGTCGGGTTTGTTTGCTCGGAAACAGCTGTCAGTTCCCAAAGAATGGAAAAATGAGAAACCAACGGGGGGGGAGGGGGGTCCTGGTCAAAAAAGAGAAGCTCCACTTTGTGTCGGTAGATTTGAGGCCTCTATCGCATCGTCACTTTCCGCGTCTCTTGAAATGTGGCCGCACGATAACGGCGACCCATTGCGGCGTCTGGTTTGCGTTTGCGTCCGGTCGGTGTGGTCGAGGGTGACGCGTTTCCTCTCCGACCTGCGTTCCCATCGCCGGCGCTTTGTGCGACCTGTCATCCGCTCAAACAATCTGTGGTCTTGCTTCAAAAGGAGGCGAGAAGGCGCCGCTCATGCATGGAGAATCGGCCAAAGGGACCCCTCAGACACCCCCCCCCCCTTCAAAACCCCACCCGGCTATATCGGCTCCATCGACGTAGTCTCTCGCTGTTATTGATGCTCGCTCTTTCACACTCGCTCGCTCTTGTCGCTCCACTGGGATGGGAAAAAAAGGAATTTCAGCGCATCCCGGGGAATTCCCTCTCAGCCGTTTCAAAGCCCAGCATGGAGGCTTTCTTTGGGGTCCTTCGTCATGTCTGCCACACACGCACGTGCACGCAAACTCGGGGCCGCTCGTATTTTGGCATTTTCTCCAAAAAGGTTACGGAGTCCTCCTTCTTTTTCAAAGGTGACACACTCCAAGTTAAAAAAAAAAAAGAAAAACCAAAAAAAATGTTCTTGTCAAATTCCAATTTGATCCACCAACAGCTAAAGAAAAAGCAAAAACACAAGTCCACTCTCAAAAGCACATGAATGAAGATTTGGTCAGAGTCGGCGTGATCGACTTGTGTTATTTGACTGCACCAATCTTAAATTGTTGAACAAGTGCATCTGTGTTCATATTATGAAAAGAAAAATCACCAGTGTTTCATGACATCCATTTGATCTCGCTGATAATCCAAAATCCATTTTTGATGGGGGGGGGGGGGTGCAAGCAACTTCAAAGCATCCGGTACATGTATATGATTTATGACACGACAGCATAATTAGGAGTTGGCATTTGGAGTTGCTTCGACTTTTGCTTTGCTTTCCAAATTAAGAGGAGGCATGCCCCAGAAATTGCGTCAACCATTTGTCAGAATCATAATCAGTCATTTCCATATCCACTATTATATAAGTGTCACTGACCATTCATGTAGTCATTGTTTGACCCCCCCAGCCCCAGCCCCCAACCCCCACCGCCTTCCTCGTCCTCCTCCGAGCATATGAATATGACCCGCGCCCCCGCCTTTTTCCTCCCTCCTATTATGCGTGTGCACTTCCGAGTGCAACCCGATCGACATTATGACACTCTCGTGCATGCGCGCGCAGCCGTGTGAACCTGTCGTGCACGCGCGTGTGTGTGTGTCTTTTAAGAAAAATGATATTGTTGTGCACGCAAAAAAAGGAGAGAGAGAGCGAGCGAGGGAGAGAGAGAAAGAAAGAAAGAGGTCGTCATTAGGCACCCACCACCATCATCGTCATCATCATCATCATGATATCATCCCTTCACAAAGCCCCCCATTCATCCATTCATTCCGGGCCCGGCGCGTGCACGTCTGCATAATTGCATTATTGAGCATGGAAGCCGCGCTCGCCAACACACGAACTCCGTCCTCGTGCGCGTGTAGACCCCCCCGACCCCCTTTTTTTTGGTCTTAAATAAAACTAAAGTTGCTTGTCGAAGTGTTCTTTCGAAATAAAAAACTGCGTTTGTGTTGAAAGTCAGCAAGACGATGCGGCGTCGTTGTCAAGAATCCCAAACAAGCTCTTCGACTTGGATTGTGATTGTGATTATGAACGTGGGAGAAGATGGAGATGTCAGAGGGGAGGAGCGTTTGTGTTTGTGTGAGTGCGTGCACGCGCGTGTCGGCGAGCCGGCTTATTTACATGAATGCGCCGCAAGGTTACAGTGCACGCACACACTCGCGGGCATGCACGCGCTCGCGCGCGCGCACACGCATACGTACGCTCGTCATCTGGAGCGCTTGGGACTTGTTTAAGCGCACGAGAACGCGCCACACGCACGCCCCCCCCCACACACACACACACACTCTTCTTCTTCTTCTTCTTCGTCTTCTTCTTCTTCTTTCTCTTCTTCGAGGCCGTCAAAGGTAAGAGATTCCACTTTCACTCTTGTTGTTTTCTTTTTTTTTTTTTTTTTCAAGGGAATTTTGCTGCCTTGCGCGGCGGCGCGGAAACATAAAACACGAGATGACGTGCACGAGCGCAGGACAATTTGGATTAGTTAGCCCCCCCCCCAAAAAAAAAAGAATACTGAAGGTCAAAATAAGAAAGTGCCTTTTTTTTCTCTCGTGCTCTCTCCCGGCTGCTTTTTTTTCGTTCGTCCACGCGGATGGTTCCCGGTGCCGACGAACACGAAGGCTCGATCCGCGGGACACGCGGAGCGAGGACGGAAGGATAGAGAGAGGGGGAGAGAGAAAGAAGAGAGGGAGGGACGGACGGTGGGAGTGGAGAGAGCGAGTGGAGTGGGGGTGGTGGGGGGGAGGTTC